GCGGTCCTCTGCCCAGGGACTGGCACCGTCCGCTGGGCACGCCCTTCTCGCCTCATCCCCCCGCCCCCTCCCTCCCTCCCTCCCCCCCCCGTGCGGGCTGGTGGGTTGGGGTCTGGGAGAGGCCTTTCCAGCCACGCCTCCAGGGGTGCCCAACCAAGGTGCAAGGCACCTCCCCCCCCCCTTGCCCAAGTGCAGCGGCCAGGCCTGGCCCAGCAGAGCTACCAGCTCAGAAATGCCACCAGGCCGGTTTGAAGGGGACAGTCCTGCTGGCACCACCTGGGATGGCGGCCACAGCTCAGGGCGCTGGGGGGGGGGGACCAAAAGCATCCTGTTTAAGACTTAGTGGCAGACACTCCCCCTCCTCTAGCTGTGCAGGTTGTAAACATCCTGAAGGTTGCCTGTGTCTCTGTGTGTACGAGCGATGGGCTCTAGGAAACAATATTCTTACGTTCTGTAATAAAACAGTGGATATTGTACTAAGGCCCCGGGCCTCACACGGGCCGGATATCGCGCGGGGGGAGGCGTGGCAAATTGCCCTGGCGCAGTTTGACCCGCGATTATGCAATCAGACATGCCCGGGGTATAACCGAGGGGCTGGAGGAGAAAGTCGCGGGCCAGCGCGATCACACCACGGGAGTCTGGAGGCAGCCCATGTCAAACCGTTTGCCAGTACTTTGAAGGTACTGCTTTTTTATCGCGCATTTTCGGCGGTAAGCCATAGGTTGGCCACGGGTGCACGGTTGCGCTACACTTCCCAGACGTTGGGGTGTGATCGCGCACGGATAATCCGCCCACAACCCGTGGCTCTCCCGCGGCAGATTCGCCGTGTGACCAGGACCTAAGTATGCTTTATTGTTTGGAAGTTGCCAGTCCTTTATCTGTTTTGCAGGAGGCAAGTAGAAACATTCAGGTCCTGAATTCGGGAGGGGAGGAGACCCCACCCCTCCCCCACCCCACCCCGGGTCCTTCTTGTGAAGCTAGAAAGCTCCATTTCTTATAATGTCTTCTTACATCACTTCTTCCCCATGGGAAGCCCCCAGGGGGGCCGCCATCCTTCTCTCCTCCGTGCTGTTCTTACAACCACCACCCTGTGAAGTAGGTCAGGCTGAGGGCGGGCCTGGGGCAGTGCGATGCCTGTGCTGCTCTGAGGGGCCAGCTGGGGGGTTAGGGGCGTGGGGGCGGCCGCAGCCCTTCTCAGGCACTCTTGGGGGTGGAGGGGGGAGTTCCACCGTGGGGCCGGGCATCCCCTTGTCGCGGCTGCCTCTGCTGTGGGGGCTGTGGCGAGAGAGAGCCTCCTTCTGTGGTGATGCCGCCACCCAGGCCGCCTTCGCTGAGCCCCGCCCGTGTCTCTCTCTCAGACGACTGTTTCCTGCCCTGCGTGGTGGGCCGCTGCCGGGCTGCCTTTCCCAGGTGGTGGTACAACGCAACCAGCCAGGCATGCCAGGAGTTCATATTCGGGGGCTGCGGAGGCAACGGCAATAACTTCGGGTCGAAGAAAGAGTGCTTCTGGACATGTGTCCGAGGTGAGAGCAAATCCCAAGGGTCCCCCTCCCCCCCCAGAAGGTGCCCGGGCGTGGTGGTGCCACGTTTAGGCTGCCACTGCCCAGTCTGCTGGGCTCTGGAGGGCACTCCCGGCTGCCTCTCTCCGTGCCGGGATGCCTGGCGCTTACGGCTAAGTCGAAGGGGCCGGATGTTGGGAGGCCTGCCAGCTCCTGCCGTCCCACTGGAGCGTCCGTTTTCTGCGAGGAGTGGAGTGGTAATGAGACTCTAAGCGCAGTTCAGATCCACGCTCAGAGAACAGGGACGCCTTTCCGTTGAGGTTCTCCACAAGACCTTTCATGTCGCCTCTCTCTCACCCTGGGCTCCTTCCCCCGTCTGGCCAACCTTCCTGTCTAGACTGGACGGCCCTCAGTCTCCCTTCTGGCAATTCATAACACGGCTACAACTGGTCGCGGGCCCATGGCACCGGAATGGTCCCGATCCCAGGGAGGGAGGGAGGGAGCGCCCCTCTGTCTGACTCGGGCCAGGCCTTCTTCTCTGCCTGTGCCATCCTGACGTGGGGCTCTTCTTGGCTTCCAGGTGGAGAAGAGGAGACAGCGGGCACCCCGCTGACCGACCAGAGAGGGGCCGAGAAGCCTGCCACGGAGGGTGAGGGCTCCCCTGAGTTGCCCTTTGGCCCTGAGGCAGGCGGTGGGTGGAGAGGGCTGCCTCTTTGGCTCACGGGAAGGCCTCGCAGGGACCGGGGCGAGTTGCTGAAGGGGCTAGGAAGCCACCGCCCCGCGGGCCAGGCTCAGCGCCCTTCATGTCTGCCTGACCGGCTCTGTCCTCTCTTCTGACAGCTGCGCCCACCTCTAGCCACCGTCGCCACCGTCCTGCAGAGGACACGATCCGCTTCCAAGGTGAGGCCTCCTTCTCTTTTGGGCGGGCTGCGCTCTCACGGCCGAGGGTTGAAGAGGGGGCCTCTGCAACAGCTTGCTTCTCTCTCCCTGCAGAGCACTGCGCTGCTCCAAGGGTGACGGGCCGCTGCCGCGCCTCCTTCCCCCGCTGGTTCTTCGACATGGAGACCCGGACCTGCAAGATGTTCATCTACGGCGGCTGTGGGGGCAACAGGAACAACTACCTCCTCGAGGAGGACTGCCTGAGCCAGTGTGCGGCGGGCGGCGGCGGTAAGAAGGGGCGGGCGGATGGGCGGGTGAGCCTCTGCCAGCTGGCCTTCGGAGCTTGTGCCAGGCTGAGGTGGCTCTTGGGTTCGCTTCCTAGTGGCACAGTGGAGGGAAGGAGTGGGCAAAGCCGTCTTGGTGTGTGTCCGTGTCCACACACACACCCCCAAGATCGTTGGAGGAGTCCAGGGCTCTTGCTTCCCTCCTTGCAAAGGAGAAGAAGAGATTGGACTTATACCCCGTGGCCCTTCACTACCCAGAGGAGTCTCAGAGCGGCTTACTGTCCCTTCCCCTCCCCACAACAGACACCCCCTGTGGGGTAGGTGGGGCTGAGAGAGCTCTTTTGAGAACTGCCCTTGAGAGAGCAGCTCTGAGAGAACTTGTGACTGACCCAAGGTCACGCCAGCAACTGCATGTGGAGGAGGAGTGGAGAATCAAGCCCGGTTCTCCCAGATCAGAGTCCGCGCTCCTAACTCACCAGCCTGCCTCTCCCTCCCCCCACTTGCAGAGCTACCCGGAGAGGAGGACTCCAGTGCCCACGGCCGCCTCTTTCCCGACTCAGCTCTGCATTCCACCCGAGGTCAGTCGGGGATTCTGCACTAAAACCCACCCCCCTGGGGGTGGGGGCGGGGGGCTTTGACTGCCAGTGGGCCTCCATCGGGAGAGGACCCCTTTGGCCATGGGTGTGTGTGTGTGTGTCGTGGTCCGACGAAGCTCGCTCGGTGGTGCTGGTGAGGCGGGAAGCCTCCGGGCCCCTGCGGAACAGGCCTCGCTGTGCGTGCGTTGTGGGCGGCGTGGTCCCGTCGCCCTCCCCCCGCTGATGCCCCCCTCCTCCTCCTCCTCCTCCCCCCACAGCCGTGATTCTGGCCGTGCTCCTGGCCCTCCTGCTGGCTTCTCTGGTGCTGGTCGTGGTCCGGATCTGCCGCCAAGGCCGGGAGACTTCGCTGAGCACCGTGTGGAGCACCGTGGACGCCGACAAAGAGCTCCTGATGAGCAGCGGCTACACCCTCTGAAGGGGGGGGCCTCCTCGGGCTGCTTGCGTGTAAATAGGAAGGGGGGGCTAGCCCTACTATGAGTGTGGCTGGGCGGGGCTCTCTCTCTCTAGCACACGGATCATAAATCTTTTCTTGGGGCTCCTTTTCTTGTGTTTGGCTTTTGACTCTTTCAGCACGGCTCCATCCAGCGAAAGGGCCTCTTCCCCCGAACCCCCCTCCACCCCCACCGCCGTGAAGGTTTTGCTTTTTCCTGCCTCAGGGGACTTGGCTGGGCTCTGACCGGGGTGCAGAGGGCTCTGAAGCGAGCAGCAGTGCCCCCTCGTCTGTGGGGCTGGCCTTGCCCGGGGCGGGGGGTGGGTGGGCAGCCGTCCTGTTGCCACTGTGTGCAAGCATTGGCCCACCTGGGGGGTGCCAGCGAGCAGGCAGAGGAAGGCCAGCCCCACAGGCTCTGGTGGGGGACTGTGGTCCTGCACATGGGGGTTCTCTCTCCAGCCCCCTCCCGGGGAGGGAAGTATTCACTGGTTCAAACCACTTCCAGGCGAGGAGGGGGCTGGCGGGGCTGGGGGTCTCCGTGGAAGGTGGGGAGAGAGCTCTTCTGGTGCTGCAGTTTCTTGGGGAAGTCAGCCCCCCACCGGCTGGCTGGCCCCGGCTCCTCCTCCTCCGCATATCTGCAGGGTTCAGGGTCCGTACTCTCTCCACCTTAGTTGCCTCTTGCCCGGGCTGCATGCTGCGGGGCCTCTGCCCAGAACACCCCCGTGCCTCTCCCCCTTCCCCATAAGAGAGGGGCAGCAAGCTTGGTGGTGGTGGTGGTGGGAGCCCCAGGCAGTGAGTGCCGTGGGA